CTCCCTCCCTCCCTCCCTCTGTCTCTGTCTCTGTCTCTGTCTCTCTCTCTCTCTCTCTCTCTCTCTCTGTCTCTCTGTCTCTCTCTCTCTCTCTCTGTCTCTCTCTCTCTCTGTCTCTCTCTCTCTCTCTCTCTCTCTCTCTCTCTCTCTCTCACACACACACACACACACACACGGGGCGGGGGTGGGATGGTGGTGCTAAACAGGAGAGAGAAAAATCAAAGATTTTCACTTGCCAGAATTCTGCAATACTGGGCCTCGGAGGAGGCACGAAAAGCAAAAACAAAACAGGACAAATCACAAGAATAGCAGCCCTTCCTAGAAAAGCTCACAGATGATCCGCTACATGTTTCAATGAGTCTGTTTTAATAGTTACGTCTCTGCTCATTTGTATGGTCTATAAAAGCCTCAATGCGTGTCGAGGAAAAGAGAAATACTGTGACATTGTGCTGAATATATGAGAGAAGCAAATAAAGCCAGCTTAGGGAGGAGGGACACCGTGATGCCATCCCTCATGCTTTATGCTCAAGCAAGCTGGGTCTCAGCAAAGACTGCTCACAAGCTGGCCCAGTGCAGCACGCCCGCCATCCAGCACTTGGAATGCCGAGGCAGGAGGGTCATGAGTTCTAAGCTGCTCTGAGTGGCGTCAGAAAGACCTTGCCTGGAAAAAGTCAGGTTGTTCTCCCGATTTCTGTCCAACGTTAGTGTTTGGAGCATCGTAAGGACTTTGAAGTGTTTGAGGGGACATAAGGAACCTGAAATGTAGTTCCCCTTGACTGTGAATGAGAGAAAATTAATCAGAAGAGGCACCACAAGTAGCTTTTCTGTTTAAACGTGGGTGGGTGGTTGTTAGGCCAGCACTGTCTCTCTGTACCACCTTGGAAGCCAGGAGAGAGTCGCATCATCTGGAACTCGAATTACAGATGGTTGTGAGCAGCCCTGTGGGTGCTGGGCATTTAACCCAGGTCCTATGGAAGCCCAAGCTCTTAAGCACTGAGCCATCTCCACCCTGGCAGGTGGGTTTTTATGGAGAGGTTGGGACGTGAGGGGGACGCTGGTAAAACACAAGAGGAATTGGTGTAGAATCTACCCATCACCCGTGAGCTCAGCAGCAGAAGCCGCTGTGGATAACTCATGGATGTGGCTCTAAGAAAACCCAACTTCCTGAAGTGGGGCGCATTCCTGACTGAGAGGGAAACAGCTGGGATTCCTCTTCCAGAAACACTTTCTGTATCCCATAATACTCCGCAGCTTCCACCAGAGGGAGACACAGTTTTTGGACGTCACTCAGGTTAAGAGCACTGTGGGTAGCATTCAGTTCGTAGCACCCACGTCTGGCAGCCTGTAACTCCCAACTTCCTTGGGCATCTGATCCTCTGGACTCCAAGGGTCTTTTACGTTCATGTGTGTGCACTCGTGCACTTGTGCATGCACACACACAATTAAAAATAATGAAAAAATATCTACAAGTGTGTAATTAACACTACAAAGACATTTTCCACAGGAAAGCCTCTTACCTTGTCATTCTGAACATTAACATGTTGGGTTATTTGCACACATTTCTAGTTTTTGATAATATGCCTGCATCAATATCTTCATAAGGTGCCTGCTATTTTAGTTTCTAAACGCCACTTTAAAATTCTTTAAACCTCTACTGTGTTTTTTGCATGTCTCTGTGTGTATATGTGCTTGTTGTGTGGATAGCCTCAGAGGCCAGAAAGAGGACTCACGAGCTCAGAAGCAGTTGTGAGCTACTCACTGTGGGTGCAGGACCCGAACTCCAGTCCTCTGCAAGAGCAGCAAGAGAACCTTACTGCTGAGCTATCTCTCCAGCCCCATTTTAGTCTTTTATGGTTTTGCCTGGGTCTTTTGAGACGGAATCTCATCCGTGCTCAAGCGGATCTTGAACTCATCATCTTTCTGCCTCCAGGCATCTTTTACATACGTCACCAATCATGATAGCTCTTTCAGTGCTTACGTACGGTCTCGCTCCCTGTGTCTGTTGTTAGCCATTACATAATGTGCCCTTCCCCCCCCTTAACAGATGATGCTGCAGGTACCTTCAGCACACAGATCTTGCTTTCTTATGAGTAATTTTAGAGATGGCACTCCTAGATCAAAGGGACAGAACCCCCTCAATTTTTTTTATTTTCTTTCCTCTCTCTCTCTCTCTCTCTCTCTCTCTCTCTCTCTCTCTCTCTCTCTTGCCTTTCCAGAGGCTTATGAACATCTGTGTTACTGCAGACGGTACATAAGAATCTGGGATCTGAGGGTGGTATTAACCTGTGTGTTCTTCTTTGTTTTGTTTCATTCCTTAATTCTTCAAAGAGCTGTCATCACATCGTCCTTGCCTTCAGCCATTGCTGTTCAATCTGCTGCTCTGTACTATACTGGGGATATAATGTTGAAAAGATGACCTGTGACCTTGTATCAGTGCAGAATTTCTGCCAGACGGCTCATGAGGGAGAGGTGGTGTGGCACTTTGCATGCTCACGGGATTGGTTCCTCATTGGCATCCCATGGACTCAAACCCCGCAGGGACTTGCATGCTGATGCTGTTGCGGGGAGCAGTTTGCCAGCCATTCTTCCCCTCTCACCCAGATCTCAGCTCCAACCTGAGGCTGAAGGCAGATTAAAAACAGAAACAATTACAAAGAGGCGGGAAGTCAAGTAAGAGGGCCAGTGTCCTCAGAGGAAAGGAGTTGGGAAGTGGGCTTCCCCCAAACTGCTGATGTGTGCACAGGCCTGTGCCTCAGCCCGCTGTGTGCTCAGGAATGCGCTATCACAGCAGGCTCGGGTGCCTTTTTGCTGTAACCTTGGTGGTTAAGCCAAGAACTCGTACATCACACAAGTGTTCTAGCACTGAGCTGAAGCTCAGCGTCAATGTTTGGTACGTTGCTGTTAAGGCCACATAATTTCTGTTATCTGTGTATAGCGCTGGGATGGGACTCAGGGCCCCGCGTGTGCGAGGCAGCCTTTCTACAATTGAGTCACTTCCTCTGCTTTAATGTTTTACTGTCTTTTATCGTGAGCAAACATATACATAAATTCAAACTTACCAGTTGAGCCGTCTTAAGTGTATGACTGAGTAGCAGTGAGTACATTCACAGCATCCTGTAGCTATGTAGCCGCCCCCATCATAGATCTGCAGAGGTTTCATCTTCCCCCAAACAGCACCTCCTCCCCTTCAGCTCCTGGCACCTGCTATGTTGCCTTCTCCATGAGTTGGACCACTTTGCATGCTTTAAATAAGACACAGATTTAACTTTCAGTCCCAGATTTTGCCACCGCTTAATGTCCTTGAGGTTCATCCATGATGTAGTGTGGGCCGGAATTTTCTGCCTTTCTGGGGGGCCAAATGACATTCCACTGTATTTAAACACTACATAGTCTATCCTCTATGGCCTCGTGAGCTGCTCCCCCTTGTGGCCTCTGTGGACATTGCTGCCAGGAACAGAGCTGTAGGCAGAAGTTTCTATCCTGCTAGCAGCTACCAAATAAAAACACAGAGGCTTTATATTAATTACGAATGCCCAGCCAATAGCTCAGGCTTGTTACTAGCTAACTCTTACACTTTGAATTAACACAATTTTCATTTCTTATGTACCCTCCATATGGGTTAGTACCTTTTCTCAGTACAGCATGCCCAACTTGCTTCTCTCTGTCTCTCTGCTGGGGACTCCAAACTCCACTCTTCTGCTTCCCAGTATTCTCAGTCTCGCTCTCCTTCCTTAGTTTATTCAGTTATGATATTGGCCAGTCAGCTTCTTTATTAAGCTAATCACAGCGACAAATCTTCACCGTGTACAAAGGGATTATTCCATAGAACAGAGTTTGTTCAAGTTTCTCAGTTTTTGTTATTATTGTTTTGTTTTTGTTTTTCTTTGGCTCTATTCCCAGGAAAAGAATTGCTGGCTCAGATGGTAATTCTAAGTGAGCATTATTATTTTCGTGTGCTTTTTCATCTATTTTGTGGTCAAATTTGATCTTTACATCAGCTCCACGAGATAAGAAAACATTTTTCTCTGGCTCAAAAAAGTGGCTCACTCAAATTGAAACAATAAATTTGAGTCTCTGGAACTCAAAACTTGTCTTCCACATTTTATTGACTATTAAAAGTGGTCCCAGTCGTGTATTACCACCTGAGGACAATATGCCTTTCTTTTCTTTCTCTCTCCTTTCCATTCTTCCTCCCCTCTCTCTCTCCCTCCCTCCCCCCTCTCTCTCTCAACAGTAGAGTCTCGCTATATAGCTCAGGCTGACCTAGAATTTAAGATTTTTTTTTTCTCAGCCTTTTGAGTGCAGGGATTATAGGCATGTGCCACTCTGTCAGGCTTGGCGACAGCTTGGTCAGGTGCCTGGTTTCTGCTTTTTTGCTCCGACTATCGGACACGTAAGATCATGTTCAAGCCTTTGTCAGTGCAGAGAGAAAAGGCCAAGTCACTCTCCAGCAACCATGTCCATATCAGAGACCAAAGCCTGTCCCATAGCAGAGATGAGGGCCTGTGTCCATGTCCAGAGACCAAGACCTGTCCCATAGCAGAGAGGAGAGGTTATGAGGCCAAGAGATCAAGGCTGGGTCCATGCCCAGCAACTATATCTACACACAGTGACCAGGCATTTTTCAGTTTCTGTTTTCCTCTTTCAGCCCAGTCCCTGTCATGATCATGAAGATTTGGTGGCTCCTTCTGGTTATGGGCACATGTGCAAAGAGTGTGTACTCCCAGGACACCTGCCGGCAAGGGCACTCTGGCATCCCGGGGAATCCAGGTCACAATGGCCTCCCGGGAAGAGATGGACGAGATGGCTCCAAGGGTGACAAAGGAGACACAGGTACTGAACATCTGTAGCTTCTTACTGCCTCGTCCCTCTCTTCCTGCTGATATACTGTTCCACCTGTCCACAGAGCCCTCACCTATCAGTGTCCCCATCTTTTCTCTTTGCCATTGAGCTACCTCTCCACCTCGGTCAAAACGTATTTCTTTTTTTTTTTTTTTTAAATATGGAACGCTTCACGAATTTGCGTGTCATCCTTGCGCAGGGGCCATGCTAATCTTCTCTGTATCGTTCCAATTTTAGTATATGTGCTGCCGAAGCGAGCACCAAAACGTATTTCTTAAAAACACATGTGTTCTGGTAGCCCATGCCTTTAATTCCAAAACTCAGGAGGCAGAAGCAGATGGGTCTCTGTCTGTGAGTTAAAGGCCAGCCTGGACTATATATTGAGTTCCAGGACAGCCAGAGATACATAAACAACAAACAATAGAAAGAAAACAAACAAAAGTATCTGTTTCTCTCTTTTTCCATTTAGTTCATATATGTATTCTACTCAATGTGCTATTTCTTTGGAGAATGATGTTAATGCGGGCTGCTTGAGAGGAAAATCTGCTGCTTCTTTACTGGTACTCTGAGGATGCGCTCTGTGTGTGTATTTTTTTTTTTTTTTTTTTTTTTTGAGACAGGGTTTCTCTGTGTAGCTTTGGAGCCTGCCCTGGAACTAGCTCTGTAGACCAGGCTGGTCTTGAACTCACAGAGATCTACCTGCCTCTGTCTCTGCCTCCTGAGTGCTGGGAGTAAAGGTGTGCACCACCGTTGCCCAGCTCGCTTTGTGTTTTATATAATCAACACACAATTAGTACAGCATCCATAACATACATTCAGTTGTTCAGGTAGATGTTAAAGCTCTAGCCTGTATAAAAACTTTGAGATATACAGAATACAAGAATTTGGAACTAAGCAGGGAGAAAGAGAAATTTGATAGGAAGGCTCAGGCTTCAGGGTGGTGCAGACAAGGAGTGGGAGATAATGGAGAGGAGGGCTGCTTTGGGGATACCTCCCACTTGGTGGTTCAATGGGACTCAGGACTTGCTTGGGGTAACAGCAGGCTTTATGAGAGATGCAAACCAACCTGTGTCTCTTTCCAGTTCTGAGAGTTGAAGGCTGTCCCAGCTGCTTGTCACCCCACAACTACAATGGTAGGGTTTAAGTTTTGGGGTCTTGGCTGACTTGAGCGAGACAGAACCTGGAGTAAACCATGGCTTTGTGAGCTCTTCTGTCACCATAGTGTGGCCGTTACTTGGTGGCTTGCTCCCAGACTCAAGATGGTGTGTGACTAGTGGAACCCTTGTGTCTCATCCCAGCTTATTCTGAGGCCTTCACCCCTGTCTACCATGCCTTTCCTTCCCCAACAGTCATGGCACGGAGTTCTCTGATGCTTCATAGCATCTGGAGAGCCTTTCGCTCCACTCTTCGAGTGAATGGTGGAAAGGGATTGGAACGAGAGATGCATCTAGCACCTCCCACCTTCAGATCACTTCCAAGTCCAAGTCCCGAGACAGACTTGCAGCATGGCCCTCTGTGTTTCAGTTTGCTCCTTCGGGCTCCTTGGGCACCCCACAGCTGGGTGTTCAGGAAGTCACCAACACATTTTATAACCTGCTCATCCTACCTGATCCAACACCCTGGATACTCACCAACAGTTGCTACCTCCACCTCCACTGGTGGAAAAGGAGGCGGGCTGGGGCACCCCAGGACTTCCCATATCAACCACCGCTGGAGACTCATAGCCGGGAGATTGGAACTGGCCTCTCAACTCTCTTCTGCTTTTTCCCCTTCCACCTAGGAGAACCAGGACATCCCGGAGACCCAGGGAAGGATGGAATTCGTGGGGAGAAAGGAGAACCAGGTCAGTGGTGACTGCATCATCCCTTGAACAGTGCTCTGACACAAGGCTGGACTGACAGCAGCCGAGCCGCACTGCTGTGAACTGATCTGTCTGGTGCTTCCAGGATGAACCACTGTATAAGTGAAGGTTCTCTAAAGAGACAGAACTGGTAGAGTGATTGTATATAAATATAAACACAGGGAGAAGGGGGATGGGGATTACAAACTGTAGCCTGTGTAGTCCAACGATGGCTGTATTCCAACAGGGAGGCCGAGAATCTGTTGTTCAGTTTATGAGCCTGGATGTCTCAGCAGTCCCAATCTGGTTCTAGAGTCCTGGGGAATTCCTAAAGAGCTGTTGATCCTCAGTCTATCTTGGAATAGTGAAGAGGTAGATTCTAAGACTAGCAAAGGAATGGGTCAGCAACAGGGTGGAAAGGTTTGCCAGCTAGAACAAGGGCAAACAGGCAAAAAGCAAAACCTTCCTTTTTTTCTTGTCAATCACAATGGGCTGATGACAGAAGGTATGGCCCAAACTTAGGGTGGATTTTCCTGCCTCAAATGATCCAATCAAAAAAATCTCTTACTGGGTTTGGTGGTGCACGCCTTTGATCCCAGCATTTGGGAGGCAGGCAAATCTCTGAGTTCAAGGCCAGCCTGGTCTACAGAGTGAGTTCAGGACAGCCTGGGCTACAGAGAGAAATGCTGTCTCAAAAAAACAAGCAAACAAGAAAGACAGAGAGAAAAGGAGGCAGGGAGGAAGGAAAGGAAAGAGGAAGGGAGAGAGAGAGAGGGAGAGAGGGAGGGGGAGAGAGAGAGAAAGAGAGAGAGAGAGAGAGAGAGAGAGAGAGAGAGAGAGAGAGAGAATGAATATCCCTTATAGGTAGGCCCAGATGTTTGGGTTTTAGTTGACTCTAGATGTATTCAAATTGATAAGCAAGATTAGCCACCAATATATTTTCTCTCTTCAATAGTTACAGGTACATACTGGGATAAGTAAACTTCTGGAAATGCCCAAATGGAAATCAGTCTTAGCCTTGTGAGTCATGGGATCTGCCCGTGCACCAAAAGGCAGCCTCAGCTGCCACAAACAGGTGTTGCCATGTTCTGGGGCAGCTATGGCTGAAAGACCAGTATTTGCATTTTATATACTTTTTGCATAGTATGGAGCCCTGCTTTGTTTTCCCCAGCACTGGGGATTAAACATTGAAATTCACGCATGCTAAGCAAATGCTGTGCCACAGCCTTCTTTTCAAAAACCTTTATTGACATATATTAATTGTAGATAATGGGTCCGCTGTGACATTTTCATACTTGGACATAATGTTTCAGTCACATTCATCTCAATACCCTCTCTTGGCCAGTTCCACAGATCCCTTTCTGCTGTTGCTGTTGGTGCTTCTCTCTTGTCTGTTTTCCTTTCTTGTACATGTGACCCAATGAGTTCATTAGGGAATCTATAGGCACATGGGTGAGAGTGTGCTTGTGGGAGCGGGAGACCCTTACTAATAGCTAACTGCTGAAGGAAGTGTGTCTCCCTCTCCATCACACACTGACTGCATAATCAGGTAGGAGGCAGATTGGGACAGCAGGCCACAGTGTGCTGACCTCTGACCCAGTGGATGAGCACCAAGGAGGAAGGTCCTACTTCACTCAGTGCATCTGGCCCTGCTTCAGGGAGAAGGTGGCACTTGAGTAGGGCCCTGGGCTACTGGTGACTGGTACTTTCCCAGAATTAATTGCAACCTGAAGGGTAGTGATGGAGGAAGGACATTGGTTAATTATAATAAAGAAACTGCCTTGGCCCATTTTATTGGTTAGAACATAGGTGGGTGGAGTAAACAGAAGAAAATGCTGGGAGAAAGAAGCTGAGTCAAGGAGTCGCCATGATTCTCCCACTCCAGACAGACGCAGGTTAAGATCCTCCCTGGTAAGCCAGCTCGTGGGCTACACAGAATATTAGAAATGGGTTAGAACAATATGTAAGAGCTAGCCAATAAGAGGCTGGAACTAATGAGTCAGGCAGTGTTTAAAAGAATACAGTTTGTGTGTTGTTATTTTGGGGCATAAGCTAGCAGGTGGCCGGTGCTGGGGACGCAGCCCCGCCGCCGCTCCTATTTCAACAGGGTAAGGAGTAACCTATGGAGAAAGGCTGTAATGTCAAACACATGTAGCTCATTCTGGGGATTAATCTAAGGCTTTTTACGAAAATAGAAGAGTTCTATAAATTGGGTAGCATCACTGTTCCAGCTCTGTAGATGAGGGGCAGATGTGAGGGGGGCTCACTGTCTGCTTGTCCTGTATTGTCCACACATGCTGGGATTGGAGAAAGGTTGGCTAATGTTCTGGGGTAAGCCCAGGCTTTCTGCTCATGAGCATCACTGCCTCCCAGTCCAGGTGGAGGGAGTGAACAGTGTGGAGTGTTCATGTAGACCGAGGAAAACTGGCGTGGAAAGGGCAGACGAAGGCTCCACAGTTGGCAGGCATGGGGGCCACAATGAATGTCTGATTCCAGGTCCCACTCCTTGAGGGACTGAGGCCCTGTGACGCAGCAGCCTGGATTGGCCTGCTCCTTGTCATAGTGTCCTTCAATGATGTGTGCTTTCCCCTTGTTTCTGGCTCAACATGGGACACTTTGGTGGCACAGTTGTCGATACTCAGATGAGCCCTGCTACTGACTAAAGCATGCTTTTGGAGGCTGGGGATGTGGCTCCGTTGGTAGAGTGCTTGCTTAGCATGCACGAGTTCCTGGGTTCTATTCCTGGCACTGGATAAACTGGGAGTGGTCAAACACAGCTACAGTCCCAGCACCCAGGAACAGCAAACAGGAGGATCAGAAGTTCAACATCATCCAGTCACTCTTGGTTATAGTGAAGTTGAAACCATCCTGGGCTACATGAGACCCTGGTTGTTTTTTTTTTTTTTTTTTGTTTTGTTTTGTTTTGTTTTGTTTTTGTTTTTGTGTGTGCTTACATGTGCAATTCCCTGCATGCAATTTGGGAGTTTGTGACTTTTCAGACTCTGAGCAGATCTTGAACCCACACACTGCTTTGTCTCAATTAAATGCTTAGTGATAGGAACTCAAACATTGCTCACGAGGAAATGTATCCTAAAACACCTTCATTATCTTTCTCCCTTCAGGAGCAGATGGAAGAGTTGAAGCAAAAGGCATCAAAGGTGATCCAGGCTCCAGAGGATCTCCAGGGAAGCATGGCCCGAAGGGATCCATTGGTCCCACAGGAGAACAAGGGCTGCCCGGAGAGACTGGCCCGCAGGGGCAGAAGGGAGATAAAGGTGATGTGGGCCCCACTGGTCCAGAAGGACTGATGGGCAGTACTGGACCATTGGGCCCCAAGGGCTTACCTGGTCCGGTGGGCCCCATTGGCAAACCAGGTCCTAAGGGAGAAGCCGGACCCATGGGCCCCCAGGGGGAGCCGGGAGTCAGAGGGATGAGAGGCTGGAAAGGTGATCGAGGAGAGAAAGGGAAAGTGGGCGAGGCTCCCATCTTGCCGAAGAGTGCCTTCACTGTGGGGCTCACGGTGATCAGCAAGTTCCCTCCTCCTGATGCGCCCGTTAAATTCGATAAGATCCTGTACAATGAACTGAACCACTACAATGTGGCGACGGGGAAATTCACCTGCCACGTGGCCGGCGTCTATTACTTCACCTACCACATCACTGTTTTTTCCAGGAACGTGCAGGTCTCTTTGGTAAAAAATGGGGCAAAAGTCCTGCATACCAAGGATGGTTACATGAGCTCCGAGGACCAGGCCTCTGGTGGCATCGTGCTGGGGCTGAAGCTTGGGGACGAGGTGTGGATGCAGGTGACGGGAGGAGAGAGGTTTAATGGCTTGTTTGCAGATGAGGACGATGACACCACCTTCACCGGCTTCCTTCTGTTCAGCAGCTCTTGACACAGTGGACTCTGCACATGGGCCTCACTGAAGGCTCTGCTGGTGGACATGGTGCCCACAGAGCTAGCTCGGGGACGGTGGGATGTGACTGTGTCCATTCTTCCAATTATTGCGTCCATCCTAAAGTGCAGAGGTGGGAAGCTAAGCCTACAAAGTCAGTCATTCGAACACATTCATAATAAACTAACCCAGAGACACCGACTGTGCACCAGTGTCCCGTTAAGGCAAGAGACCAAAGAACTTCCTCTTAGTGTCATTGAACTCAGAGGGAGTCCAGATTTGAATTCTCTACTTCGTGTTGTGTTTTCCGTCCTCCCTGTCTGTTTGCTCGAAGTCTGAATCTGTGTCTGCCTGAAGGCTGTCTTGTGAATCTGTCCCTGTCCCCCAGCAGAGGGCTGTGTTCTCTTTCTTATTAGAAGCACAGAAATCATAATATGGAGAAAGGAATGAGGGATGCTTTATAGAAATCTTTAGCACAGTGTCACAAGGGATTAAGTCACTGACTCCAGCTGCTCCCAACTGACCCAGATAACAAATGAACACTATTAATGGGGGGAGAAAGAGAGGCAGAGACAGAGGCTGAATGTGGAATGGGCTTTTGAAACCTTAAAGCCCATTCCCAGTGGCACACCTACTTAAACAAGGTCACACCTCCTAATCCTTCCCAAACAGTTCCATCAACTGGGAACCAAGTAGTCAAGCATATGAGCCTGGGGGGGGGCATTCTCATTCAAACTACAAAAATGTTAGGAATATTTTTTAATCATGATGCCTTGCCATAGTTGTATGAAATTTAAAATATCTCTCTCTCTCTCTCTCTCTCTCTCTCTCTCTCTCTCTCTCTCCCTCAAGACAGAGTCACTCTTGGTAATCATGGCTGTTCTGGAACTTTCTCTGTAGACCAGGCTGGTCTTGAACTCAGAGATCTGCCTGTCTCACGAGTGCATCAGCACACCTGGCTTAAAGAGTAAAAGAATAAACAGTGGCCCTGTTTGTTGCAATTAATTTTCCACACTGGAGAAGGAACCCAGGGTTCCTTGCTAGGCAAATGCCCTGCCACAGAGCTCTGTCCTCCCCCTGTTTGTTACAATGTATTTAAGACATAGCCATTCCGGAACCCAAGGCATCCTTTGCTTGTGTGTTTGCAGTGGGAAGAGTTTAGAAGAGTTCTGGTTCCTTTCCTGCTCTAAGGGCCATATTGTGACTTCTGATATTAGGGGAAAGTAAGAGAAAATGAGATAGGATTATGGCTGAGCGGGTATAGCATTTGTATAGTATGCATGGGTTCCATTCTCAGCACTGCAAACAAACAAACAAACGAACAAACAAAAACCTACTTACGCCATTTAATGACTCGCTGCATTTCATGACACCCCAGGAGGCTACTCAATACAATGATGGGTACCTTGTTTCCTACTTAGGTGTCTATGCTACACAACTCAAGGAATAGTTGGGGTGAATCTATAGTAACTTTTTAGGTTACTTAAACCACCTAAACGAGGTGGGTGGTTTAAGATATCAGAATGTATCTGGGCAGTGGTGGCGGTGCAGACCTTTAATCCCAGTACTTGGGATTAAGAGGCAGGCGGATCTCTGTGAGTTTGAGGTCAGCCTGGTCTACAGAGTGAGTTCCAGGACAGACTGCAAAGCTACACAGAGAAACCCTGTCTTGAAAAAAAAAAACCCCAACTAAACAAAAACAAACAAAGATATCAGAATGTACTCTGTCACAGTGTCACAGTTCTGAAAGCAGAAATGGGAGGTCCATGTGTCAGCAAGATTGAGACTAAGTCCCTGAAGGAAGATCCTTTCCTGCCATTTCCAGCTTCTAACAGCTCCTGGCGTCCCTTGGTTTCAAACACATCACTTCAGGGGCTCTGGCTATAGTTCCACACAGGGTTCCCTTTGTAACTGCACATGTCCAATTTTTCCTCTTCTAAAGAGGACATCAGTTGTACTGATTCAGGCCCATCCCAATCTGATTACATCTGTAAAGATTCTACCCAACTAAGAGCCGATTGGCAGGTACCAAAGATTAGCACTTTAATGTGTCTTATAAGGAAACACCATAGCCCTCTGAACTTGCCTCCAAGTTTATGTCCTTCCTAGGTCCTAGAGGTCAATAGACCCTACCCTAACATCCTCGGTTTCATCTTTATCATGTATGCCCAAAAATGACATCATTTAAGCCATTTAAACCAACAACAGGAGAGACCTATTGTGTGATAGATATATCCTGGGGCAGAATCTAGCCAGATGGAAACCTTTAGTCCGACAAGTTATTTGCTTCCGGAGTACAGCAGTGGGATAGGCATAAGATGCCCGCTAAAGGGAGAAAGGGAAAGGCAGAAAGGGCTCACAGGTTCCAAGGGATTCTGAAACCCAGCAGAGAAAATATTAGTGTCTGAAATACTCAATCTTGCCACAACACTTCCGTTCTCTATGTGATCTTACCGCAGGGCTCTTTGGGTATGTTTTAGGTAGACTCTCTCCCTGCCCACCTGGGTACCTGGCAGTGACGGTGAACTGTCCACATGTATCCACAGCTCATGTGCTCATTGGAACACACGTGTTTCCCATGCTGATCTCCAAACCCTGGCTGTGACGGTTAGCTGTCATGGCCAACTTGACTGAATTTAGAAGCTCCCAGGAGATACACCTCTGGTCATAACTGTGAAGGCTTTTCCAGAAAGCTTTAATTGGAGAGAAACGACCTGCCTTGAAGAGGGTGATACCATTCCACGGGCTGGGATCCCAGCCAGAAGAGAAAGGAATGAAGGAAGCGGTAAACTTGCCATAGTTCTAGGCCAACCAAGCACCCTAGCTTTCTTTGAACTGACCAACCTTAAATTAGGAGGAAAACCCTTCAGAGGCTTTAAACTCCCGCAGGCCTTGAGAAGAGACTGGATTTTCGCTTTCCAAGTCCAAGCAGAGGGTCTTTATCTCTGTGTGCCTGTGGCACGTGTGTTTTCTCACCTCCGGTAAACACCGCTCATCAACGGCTATTCTGTCTGCGGTGCTTGCGATTTCTCTGCTGCAACACGTTCCCCTTCGTATGTTTCCTGCCTTTCAATTTTTCCTACAGGCAGAGACAACGAACCCGCCCAAGACCCTCTAAACTGTATCATTTCAAGGCCCCTAGAAGATATCAATGGTTTCAAAGATCAAAATAGATGAAGATTCTCTATAGTTAATTCACGTGGTTACACACAACCTTAGCTGATGTGCCTGTGTGCAAATGTATGTGTGACTTCACTCTCTTTAGGAGCCGACAAGTTCCTTGGATTCCGACTGCATGTGGCTTCTGGATCCTTCCATGCGCCGCCACTGGTCTCCTCTGAGAAGGCTACAAGAAGTCACATGTATTCCTGGCACCGGTAAGACTTCCATTTCCCGACTAGACTTTTCTCCCTGCGCTCCAGTAACACGAAGGGCAAGGCAAACGCAGGACGTTCCTTCCTCCAGACACACGAGGGCGCTACGAAACTCCGGGTGCTCAGACGGCGCCGCGACGACGCTCTTGCTTGAGAGTCAACGCGCTCTCGTCCGGGCGCCTACAGGGCTGCGCGAGCGTCACGTGCTGCGGCGTGGGCCGCTGCCTTGGAAACGCAGGCGCGCGCTTCCTGAACCCGGGCTTAGCCGGGACCCGGGAGGGTGCTGCTGGTGGCCGGCATGCTGCGGTACGGCCGCACACTGTGCGGCCTGGGAGCCGGAGCGGCTCTGCGGGGACCTACGGGCCGACGCGGCCTGCTTGACGGAGGTCGCGCCCGGGGAGTCAGCACCAGCTGGTCCCCGGTGGGCGCCGCCTTCAATGTCAAGCCCCAGGGTCGCCGGTGGGACCTGCTGGGAGAGCGCCAGGTGAGCGTGCCGCGGGTCTGGGCAGCGCGGGCTCCGCCTCTTGCTGGAAGGGGACTGTACCGGGATGAGTACGCTCTCGGGCTGCTGTCCCGCTGGCTTCCCACTCACTCAGCCCTCCCCCTGCCCAAGGTCGCTTTTTTTCTCCCTCTGACTTTAGAGTTCACACTTGTCTTTGGGTTTGTAACGACACGCTTCCATTGAAAACTCCATCACACCTTAATTGTCCATTTCAAGCTGCTTTGAAATAACTTGTTGAACCCGGCATGGTGGCTCCTGCTTGTAAGGCTCTCTTGATGGGTAAAGGCGAAAGGGTTCAAAGGACAGTCCTTTTGGCTCCAAACCGAGTTTGAGACCAACCTGAGTTACCTAAGAACCTGTGTTAAAAAGGAAAGTAACGCTGGGAGGTGGTGGCGCACGCCTTTAATCCCAGCACTGGGGAGGCAGAGGCAGGCGGGTCTACAAGAGTTTCAGGACTGTTACACAGAGAAACTCTGTCTCGGAAAACCACACACACACACACACACACACACACACACGAAAGCAACAACAGAACACTATGGAAGAAAATCAGACTTGGAGTTGATTGCTTAACCAGACAGAATTGCCTGTGGTGGTTGGTGTTGGACACTTGATAATGAAGGAGGGAAAGGAAGGGACCATTGAGAGTGGATTATCCAATGGATCCCATTATTTTGTACTTGCAGATTTTGTCCTAAAGGTTAAGGGTTATTTTTGCCTGTTAGCTTCTCCCTGTTGGGCGGCTTTCTGAAGACAAGCCTGCGATATAGTTGCGTTGCATTTCGTGGTGTGAACACCTCTGTGTTTAGCTTTGTCTCTTTGAAAGTTCTTTCTATATAAAATGCTGGTATTAATGGAGTCGGTGGTAGATCTGCCTCAGTGCTGAGTCGAAAGATGTGACAAGTAAGCTTGGTTTGGAGCGGATGAGAGATAACTGATTTCAGCCGCATTTTTAAACAATCATTTGTGTGTGTGTGTGTGTTTGTGTGTGTGTGCGCGCGCGCTTGAATCTGAATGAGTGCAAGTGTGGCTGGGTGCAGGCCAGAGGACAATTTTTAGGTGTCTGTTGCCTTTTTTAAAAAATGCATAGACTGGGCTGGAGAGATGGCTCAGAGGTTAAGAGCATTGCCTGCTCTTCCAAAGGTCCTGAGTTCAATTCCCAGCAACCACATGGTGGCTCACAACCATCTGTAATGGGGTCTGGTGCCCTCTTCTGGCCTTCAGGCATACACACAGAAAGAATATTGTATACATAATAAATAAACATAAAAAATGCATAGACTTTAGGTACAGTAGGTTTTCAAGTTGAAGAATTTTTTAAAAGT